GAAACCCTGGATTTTGCTGTAACTAATTTTACTGCTTTGAATTGGGATTTTGGCCACCTGCGGCAAACACTAAACACCTTCCAGTGCAGGCAAGGGCAAAGATTCCCAAATGTAGGGAGTGCCAGAACCTGAGGAGGGGAGGGAGAGAGAAAGAGATCCTTAGACAGCACCAGAATGTGCACTGAGAGGAGCAAGCACTCCAGTTGCCAAGACTTCCTTATGGCTAAGAACCCCATGTTTTTTAAAGACGACCTTCTACATTATTTTTTCTAACTATGTGAATATTTTAAGACTTGCTTATGAGTGTTATATTGTACTGTTAGAGGCTTATTTCATTATCTAACACACACAAAGCAAGACATGATAGAAAGTACGTGAAAGTCTATCTTCAAGAATGAGATGTTTATTGAATTGCTTTAGCTAGAAGATTTTTTTTATTCAAAATTGGAAGAGCTTAAAGAAATTCTTTCCAATGAAACAGCAATCCTTGTAAGCCTGTCACTAGGAACACTGAAGGGTCTATACAAGTGGTTGACTCCTCTGGTTCTGTTCAGACATCCACATCCTTTTCCACACATCAGAACGAAGATCACAAGTTCTGAGTGTGCTTTTGCTTCTCCCTAAGCAGCCTGTCTTACCCTCACTTTCTTCATTTCCCTTAATTATGAACAAATATATAAATGTGGTAGTAAATAAATTAACTTCATTTATTACTGAGGAAGCACTGACAGTAGTTCTGGGAAATAGTTATAATCAGTAAGAGATGATTTTGGGCAAAAAATTGATGATGGTAAATATTTACTGGTAAGATATGTATCCCATGTCCCTTTTAATTTTAAAAGTGGTCACATTTCTTGCTTCTGTCTGACAAAAGCAAGAATTCAGTCTTCAGCTGAACTCCAGCCTGTCTTCCCTTGTTGCACAGTATTCACACATTTTGTGTCTCTTGGTTATTGAATTTCAGTTAGTATTACCTGAAATTTGAAGAAAAGAAGGCTGTATAGATGAAGCAGAGTCTTCATGCATTTCTTGGGCAGATCATCAGGTTTTGAAGCCTCACTTGCTTTCTTAGTTACATGCTTTCGAGTTTCTTTATGGACACATTTTACTTTCCAAATACTTTTTAGTGTGGTTCAAGTAACAGTACCCTCAATTTTACTTTAGTTCCCGAACTGGAGACATCAGTGCAAACTACAGCTTAAACTAGACTTCTTTCTATGGGATCCCATTATTGAAGAACTTTGCTAGGTACAGTACTTATTGTCTCAATTTTAGAACCAACTGGAGGAAAGTACAGCTTCAGCCTTTCAGGTCACACTTAGAATGTGTTCAGCATGCCACACTATTTTAAATGACAACAACACCCACATTTTCCCAAGAGTCAGTTAATACCCAGGCAAGTTCACAACTACTTTTACTAGAATCTTTGCCGGAACCTGCTACCTCCACATCCTTTGGGCATTGATCTAGTGTAAATTTGATAGGGAGGATCTGCCCTACCCTTGAAGTCAGACTTTTGGCAAGGTTACTTATAGTGACATCACGCTTAAATATTCTCATAGGGTTTAAAATTTGACAACTGTAAGTTTTCGAAGTTGTATGAGTACAATGACAGAGAACTGTTTTAAGATAAAATAAAATACAGCCAGAAAACCGCTTACTGTCAAGGTGTTTGAGACATACATATCATTAATATAGAGGCCCAACTAGGTAGGTGCTATTCATGCTTGGAAAGATGGGAAGGTCAGAACTTTATCCTACCTGCAGACTGTGAAGAACACTGGGAAAGGAGAGACTGACTGTAAAAGACTCTCTTACATACAGACTTCTCTCCTAATCTTGAAGTTCCTGAACACAAAGGTTATGCTTCCAGAACATCAAAGTGACTCAGCATACACAAACTTAATGAAATTACTATGTGAATTTCAATATGTTAGCTTAATACCAGTCTATTAAAACTCTAAAGATGAAAGGTCAGACAAACATTGTGAGTAAACACCCAAATACAGACACAGACTCACAAGCAAGTTCAGTGGTCATCCAGGGTGATGGTAAAACGTCTCCAGAAAGAACAGTGCATTGTGGGAACTGACTCCCTGCTCTGTTGACTGGGAAGACAGGATCTCCTCAGCCCTCTTTAGTCTTTCCTCTAAAGGGCCTTCAAGTTCCTGCCCAGTCTTCAGTCTCTGGTCCCCTGCCTTGTCCACCCTGATGCTCCTCCCATTCTCTGTAAGACTCTGTTCTGATCTTATCTGATCTTATTGCTGTGTCTCACTATACCTTACACCCCAGGCTAGTTTCCTGTTCTGGGTTTTCAAATTCAAGAAACACGAATGCCTCCTTTTATTCTAAAGGGTCTCCCATTCTCCTTCTGCCTCCTGTGAACTTCACAAGAAGAAACATGGGCCCTCTAGGTAACTCCGCCCCAGTCCTAGCCCATCACAGCATCTGCCTCTCCCTAGTGCCCATCCTTGAGCAGCATCCTTGGTTGTCTTACTTATAAAACCTTGAATGATGTTTAATTCCTAAGGTTGAAGTAGTATGAAGGCATGTCACATACACTGTAGCAGGCACATTATCATGTAAATGGCATTATTAATATTATTAACACTGAGTCTTTTCATACGTTCATTTTCTAGCTTCTACCTACAACTGTTATAATCATTCTTTTTGATTTTTAATCTCCTTATTTGTCCTAGATCTAGACTCTTACTAAATCATTGGACTCTTAGAAAACAGTACAGACAAGAATTCTAAGGGGAGAAACAATTTGTGATCTCAAAATCCTATGGTGCTTAAAGATCACAAAGGATGAATTCACCATTTTCACATGAAAATTTTTTCAGTGTTAGGCTATTGCAAAATTGTTCCCAATTTAATCCCATTATTCTTAATTATACTCCTTATATTGGGTTAAATATTACTATTCTCTTTAATGTTGATTCAAGCTCACATCAAATGAATTTTTATATTCATCCCTTATCTCTCCTTTTTTGATGAATTCCCACAGTTTCTCAGAAATGAGTTACCAATTGTATGCCTCCTCCATTGCCTCACTTCCTGGATTCTTTTCCTGGCTTGAAGCACCATTCAAGAAACAGTGGGAGAACTGTTGGACAACACACTTATATCATTCAAATTCATCAGCTTCTGACTCACAATGAGGAAATGTAGCTGAGCTGTAGTGACTGTAACTTTTGAAGGCTGACAGTTTATTCTTAAACGTAGTTATAGCTATTGATAGTAAGGCAAAACAGACAAACAAAAAACCTCAAGTAACACAAACTTAGGGAAAGCAGATTAAATTATGTTCTAATGTATTTTCAACAAGTTGGAAAATCATTTGAGTACTAGTGTGATAATTTCCTCTGTGTGTGTGTGTGTGCGCGCGCATGTGCACATGTAAATCCCAGAGATTGACGTCAGGTACCATGCTCAATTACTCGCTAACTTAATTTATGAGACAGAGTGTTTTGCCACTTTTGGAGCTTGTCAGTTCTGCTCAGCCAGCTGTCCAGTGAGCTCCAGGGATTTGCCTGTCTCTGCCTCCCCAGTGGTGGTATTCAGATGCATGTGGCTATATCCAGAATTTTTTTATTTAAATTAGAAACAAGCTTGCTTCACATGTCAATCCCAGCTCCCTCTCTCTCCCCTCCCCCCCTGTTCCTCACCAACTCCCCCGCCCCTCACCAACTCCCCGACCCCCCACCCAATACCCACTCTACTCTCCAGGGAGGGTGAGGCCCTTCATGAGGGATCTCCAAAGTCTATTATATCATCCGGGGCAGGGCATACCCCCCCCCCCGCCATGTGTCCAGACTGAGAGAGCATTTCTCCCTGTGGAATGGGCTCCCAAACTCCATTTAGATGCCAGGGATAAATAATGATCTAGTACCCAAGGCCCCAAAGATAGCTGAGGCCTCCTCATTGACACTCACATTCAAGGGATCTGGATCAGTCCCATGTTGGCCTCTCAGCCATCGCTCTGGGGGTCCATGAGCTCCCCCTTTATGTCCAGAATTTTAGGTAGGTACTGGGGATATGAACTCAAGGCTTCATACTTGTAAAGAAGGACCTGTAGTAACTAAGTTCACCCCTGCCACCTGTGATCTACTCTCTTCTAAGATGAAGTCTAGTGTTGGCTAAGTCATTATAACTGAGCAGCAGTCCTAGTCCAGAGAGAACTCAAAATAAGGACAAGGAAGAATGAAATATTGATGGTGTTTATAAAAGTGTCAAAAAGTATAATTATTAAAACTGGCATATTTAGCAATATACAGGTTCTTGTTTGTTATAAGAGTATATGGTTGCTTTTAACCTATTAATGATTTTTTTCAATGGATCATAATCAACAGCTATCATTTCAGGAGAAACTTTTGGCTTTTTCTAGGGTCATAGGTAAAGGATTATATCCTGAAAGGCCTCCAGGATGCATCCCCCTCCCAAATAATTTTTATTGGGCCTACTCTTTTAAATAGCATTTCCTTATATTGATGCTTGGAGAACTTGTTTTTATGGCTTTATTTATCTTAAATTTAAAAAAGGATCACACTTGGCCGTTTGTGTTTCCTTTTTTTCCTCTTGCATTGTTACTTGAGTTGTTTATACTCATATTTGGGTCACTTTCCTACAGTAAAGTCTGCAGCTGCCTCCAACAGCTCAGGGCTAGCTTCTTTGGGACAGCTGTACTGGGCCTGTTTCGGGTTGCAGGATGTACTCTATTTAGATTCATGAAGAGGATCAAAATTTTAAAAGGAATTTAAAATGTGAGCAAGTGTACTTTGTTTTGCAATGCATAACTTCTTGCTGAATTCACACAACACATATTTCTTTGTGATACATCCATTCATTTTCTTTGTAGTGATACTGCAAAGTAACTAAATGAGGTCTGTGAATTTGAATTGCCTCACTGATGCTACTAGCGATAAAACGATGTCTAGCCATGGCTCAGAAAGTTCTATGTGCTTGTAAATATATTCCTGGGCTTAGGGACAACTTACCTTGTCTGACAGCTAGGGTGGTGGTATAGACCAGAAAGAGGAGGATGTAGTTCAGAAAGCTCTGGAAGACTGGTGTGTTGGCATGGAAATCTTCTGCCAGGTACTTGCTGGTCAAGCCGATTCCACAAACAAGAAGGGATAACACTTGGCCCAAAGCCACAGAGATTAACATCTCCCTGAGAAATGAAGAGAAACACAGCCTAGTCAGCAGGAAGTCCGTGAAAATAACTGCAGCTAATTCCATTGATAATTCATAGCAGGCACTGAGTTAAGGGCAATGAATACTATCTATTGTAGCCCATTGAAGCGATACTGGGGGGACTGTACAGTTATTACTGAGGCTTTGTAGAGATGGAAACTAATGCTTCACATGGTTAATTAATCTGCTCTCAGAACACATAATGAGGGTAAAGCAAAACCTGGTTATGAGATCGAGCCTCTGCATGGGAACCTGGCTCCCTCCCAATCATGGTACTCCAGAGGCTGTTGGAAAAGGACTATATCATCTTGATGCTTACCACAGTACTGTGCATTAGGGATGCTGGGAGTATGCCCAACCCTGGCAAACGGGAAACATATTCCAGCATCATCTGTGTGTACAATAATGCAATAAAGGGAGACCCTTTGCTTTACAGACCAAACTCCTGGATCTGGAAACTCTTGGATGAAATGTCTATAATTGCATAACACACATATACACATGTATTCAAATACCCGCCCACACACAGTATAGATGTTTAAATGTTGCACAATGACTATTTTAGAAGGCATATGATTTATAGACTTTCATTTTTTAAATGAATTTGTATCTTCTAAACTGTTAAAGAAAAAGAAAAAAGTATTAAAAGGATTTTGGAAAAATTTTAAACAAAAGAAATGTCTATAGAAGCCTCTGGAAATCCAGAAGGACCACTTCTCCTGCCCTCCTGGACTTCAGAACTCTGTCCTAAGATGCATTAGTATGCATTGGGTCTTTATCCTTTGCTTCTCGAGTTACAATTGCCTATATATTAAAACTATTATTCCTGAAATAGACTCATGACTTCAGTAGCATAATAGTTATGCAAATATTTTCATTGCCATTTTCATAGGCTGTGCTCTTGTAGGCTACTGAAGTGGGGACTGAAGGCAAGAGTCAGAGTGTTCCGTTTCCATGGAAATGAGATGCCTACACAGCTTGCTAGTTACACACACACACACACACACACACACACAGAGAGAGAGAGAGAGAGAGAGAGAGAGAGAGAGAGAGAGAGAGAGAGAGAGAGAGAGAGAGAGAGAGACAGGAAAGGCTCTGGAAATAGGAGGCGGACTTTTTTCTGAAAGTCTCTTTTGATCTTTCTGGTTTATTAATAGAAATAGCAATATAAAATAAGAAAGCAGTAGTTTAAACACAAAGACTTATGGCAAACATGAGTTCTTTTTTCTTTTTCTTTTTCTGGATAGAGACTGGGTCTATTTCTCCTTTTTTGGAAGCTAGATTGATCTTGCCTTGCTTTGACTACAAGAGTACAGAGGACATGAAGCCATGAGCCTTCTGGGTCTAACCTTTGAGAAGTTTTGTAGCAACTCATATTTTCCTCTTGGGAAACAGTTTCTCCACAAGGAGCCTGAGGTGTCTTACTGAATACTGAGAGACACCTGGGAAATAAAGAAAGAAATCCAGGCAGCCTCCGTGACAAATGGAATGAGAGTTTGGGAGTCTCCTGCCTCCAACACATTAAGCCAACCTGCTCAAGGAGGAGAGTTATGAGAAAAATGAAACTGGTGTTGCTTTGGGACACATGACTTTCCAAGAGTCATATGGCAACTGGAATGAGGTTCTTAAAGTTCTTCCTCCAATGGCCTCTGGGTCATTAACTCCTGCTTCCCCAGCCCTATGACATTCTTCCATGAAGCTGGAGTTCCCGAACTCTAGAGCTATTTATATTTCAACAGTGAACAGTGGTCCTCTTTTCTCACATTCCTTTATACAAGTTATCATTTGCTGAGTGTGCATCATGTCTTTTCTAATCTGACTCCTATTCCGGTTTTCAAGATTTATCTCTTTTGCCACTTGCTTTGTGAGGTCTTACTGTTTTCTTTCCCTCGGGACACATCTCATTTATTACTCTCTCATTGTATTGTATTTCTGATTGCTTGTTTTTTAGTGTCTTTTGCTTATCATGATTTTTATAAGTTTTCCCATACCTACATCCATGTAATGTGATTCAGAGGATTGTGAAAGCAAGGATTAGAAGACACATAGGTAAAGTATAATCATCACTGACTAGCTCAGAATGGCAAGGCTTTTCTTTCTTTTTTAAGGTCAACGTGTTTGAGAGTTTGGGGTATGGCTGGTCACTTATTTAGCATGGGCAAGGTCCTGGGTTCAGCCCTCAATGCTACAAAAGAAACAGTAACTCCCCATCAACTGAAGAAAAATAAAAAGTAAACAAGAATTCAAATAAACTCAAAGATTTATGACAGGGTTTTTAAAATTAGGATATAAAATAATAGGCTTAATTATGACATTATCATACATACTTTGTTTTTCTTGCCCTCTCCCCCCATTCCGCTCCTCCATCTCCCTGGCCCCCATCATCCCTCCCCCAACACACTTCGGTTTCATGCCACATCTGTTAAATCATTCTTTTTCTCCCCTCCCCAATCATTTCTTAAGATCTCCCCAGCAGTCCCTTTTCTAGTGTCATAATTTGCAGTCCCTACAAACACTTGTAAATATATAAAAATTAAAATCGAGCATCTGCATGTGAGAGGACTGTAGTATTTGTCTTCCTGTGTCTGGGGCACTTTGGTAGAATACTTTCTAGTTCCATCCATTTGGCCGTAAGTGTTCTCATTTTATTTTTATATAAATACTACAGTTTCTTGTTCATCTGTCTGCTGATAGACATCTAGGCTTGTTCCCTTTCTTAGCTACTGTACACAGAGTAACAGTGACTATGTCTCCATGGTAGGACTTTGGATTCCCTGTGTATATATGCCCGAGTGGTGTAGGAGAGTCATATTGCACTTGTAGTCTTTCTTGTTGTTTTTGAGAAATGTCAGCACTTACTTCTGGAGTGTTTTCACTTGTGTATATTTCCACCAGCAGTGAAAGGGGATTTCTCTCTCCCCACGTCCTCACCAGCACTTGTTAGTTTTCTTGATGTTGGCGATTCTGACAGCAGTGAGATGGAATCTCAAAGCTGTATTACTTTGTGTTTTGCAGATGGCTAGTGTAGGGAAAAGGGGCCACCCAAAGAAACACACCCTGAGCAGAGCCAAAGAAACACACTTTGGCCCTGTAACCAGAACCAAAGAAATGTACCCTGACCCTGAAACTAGTGCCAAAAGAACACACTTTGTCCCTGGAATCAGAGTCAGTGAAAGAAATACACCCTGGCCCTAAAACTAGAGCCAAAGAAACACACTTTGTCCCCTGGAATCAGAGCCAGTGAAATACACCCTGACCCTAAAACTAGAGCCAAAAAGCTAAGAAGGACCAGAGAAAGAAACACACTTTGGCCCTAAAACCAGAGCCAAATCTACCCTAACCCTATGCAGAAAACTAGCCAATCTCTGAGCAGGAGACTAAAGTCTGACTAACCTGCACCCTGGAAGCCCTATATAAACCCTGGGTCTGTTCAGCTTGTGGCTGTTCCTGCTACTCGGCTGTCTGCTCTCCTGGATTCTTCCCTCCCAATAAACCCCTTGGATGAGTTTTGGGCGAAGATCTTTTGGAGTGGAGCAGAGACAACCCTGGGCAGAGCAGAACGAATGGGGATGTAACACTTTTTGCCAGGGAAACCTTTGCCTGGCAAAGCGGAGTTGTTAAACTCTGCTCTTCACTCTCCTGGGAGCAGAGCTGAACTGTGGCAACTTCGCCGGGGAAACCCTCTCCTGCCAGAGCAAAACTGCTACACCAGGCAAACATCCCCAGCTGCAAGACCCTCTCCTGCCAGAGCATAGCCAATACACTGGGAAGCCTTTCCCTGAGGCAGGGCTGTAAGCTGCTAAACTTACTGTGACCTGTGGTAGTCCTTGGCTCCCGAGCTCCAGGATACCTTTCCATCTGAGCTGTATAACACTCAGTATTCTGTGACTCCTGAGTGCCGGAATACCTCTCCCATCCCATTCACCCAAAATGCCTACAGCTAGGATGTTGAACACCTTTTAAAACATTTATTTAGTGACTGATTGTGCTGGTGTGGCTATTTCCGCTGCCTCCTCCACTCAGTCCTCCTTCCCTTGCTTCTCCTAGGCTTTGTCCTCTTCCTTCTTCCTCCTCCTGCCATTTCTTCTTCGAGACAGTTCATAGTATCCCAGGACGACCTCAAACTCATTATGGGGTCAAAGATGACCTTTAACTTCTGATCCTCCGGAATTTAGTTGTGCTAACATATCCAGGGTTTGTTTGTTTCCGCGGGGCTGAGAGTCGAACTCAGGATGCCATGCAAACTCAGCAAGTACTCCACAAACTGAGAGCTACATCTCAGACCTGTTGCTTATTTTAGATAGCATTCTGTTTAGTTCCTTGACTCAATTATTGATTGGAAAATTTTTTAGCAGTTCTTTATTATTTTTAGGTGTCAGTCCCCTATCTGAAGTATTGCTGTTAAAGGTTTTCTCCTATTCTGTAGCCTGTCTCTTCATTCTATCAATGGTTTCCTTTGTTGTATGGAAGCTTTACAATTTCATGTCAACCTATCTGTCAATTCTAGGCTTGGGAACTTAGGTGGAATCATTAATGGTGACTACCTGCGTAGAAAGTGGTGAGGAATAAAAGATATTGCCTTTGAAGGCTTCTTTGAAGATGATGTTTGATCTATTACACCACATAGCACAATACTAATCATAGCAGGTAATTAATTTACAGTAGATTGCTAATAACCCTGTGATTGGTCTTTCTTTATCATTTGCCAAATAATGTACACACTAAAACAGAAGCGATACAGGTAAAGTTACAGCTAGTGTATTAAATGGTTGTTTCTGATGCTGCATATACACTAGCAAGTCCTGTGTATGGAGTGTACCTTCTTGTTGGAGAAGGCCAAAACAACACTATGACCTACTCAAATTATAGCAGTGTGATGCTTCAAACCTTGGTAGTATCCTGAACCAAGTCAAGCCACACAAGATTGCAGAATACTTACACAAGAAAATAGAATTTTAATACATCATGTGACTGCAC